ATATTGAATCAATATTGAATCAATATTGAATCAATATTGAATCAATATTTAATCAATGTTATAGCAATTGTCAATCATCATTACTGTACTAATTGAAATTCTTTATATGAGTGCCGCCAAGGGAAAACCCGCAAATCTTATTTAATAAGATTTGCGGGTTTTCCCTTGGCGACACTCATATGCAAAATTGCCTTCCCGACATTTTTAATTAATCCACCTTTAGGCTGCCGTTTTTGTATTTTTCGGGTTTTTCGTTTTTATTTCTCGCTGACGATCATCAAAATTATATAATTTGATTGATCAGGTGTCATGTGATTCTACTCCGCTTTAGACGGCCCTTTTGTATTGCAAGGAAATTTTTTATGGCGATCGCGCAATACAACATGCTGAAAATAGCAAAGGATGATCACACTGTCGTACGTACGTACGTAAAACAAATAACACGTTATATGACCATATATAGTAAAGATGAACAGGCCAAATTTTTAAATAATCTTCAATTGAAAAAGAAACCAAATTAATTTTGACAACACTAAAAGTTGACCGCAACTTTTTAGGTCAGCATCAGGCATTTTTATTTAACTATGAAACGTCGACGGACGGTTTAAATACACTAAATATATCTACAAAATATATTATCATGTTCGAAGACAATAACAAAGTCAATGATTACTCTTTATTAATAAAAAAGGTTTATTGAAAAGATATAAACCTAAAGACTTGAGAGATTTCGAAGAATATTCTATTATTCAAGTCTCTTTTCAGACGTTCACCTGTAAGCTTATTATCTGACGCAAAAAAATTTCTAGTGTTGACGATTATAACAAACTATATGAAAACAAAAGACAAAAAAAAGATTAGAGTTGGATAATTGTCACTAAATCATTAAGAGATAAAAATTACAGAGACGGGATGGAATATTACGGTACTAAGTCTAAAAAATATTTAAAAATATCTAATATTGATGAAAATGAAATCATTGAGCATTTAAAAGAACTGGTTTTCGATGATTATGTAGTGAATAAAGGAATATTAATGAATCCTCAAATGAAATTATTTTTATGTTTTATGAATCATAAAAGTTTTTGACTAAAGTGCAATTGAATATAATTATAATCATTGACGTAATTATTATGCCGGTATTTTTAATGATGGAAAAATAAATAGTAATATAGAGTAAAGCCTTGAGGCTGATGGAATTTTATTATTAATCAGCCAACTGTTAAAATAAAGCACCAAATTACATTAATTTGCAATTATAAAATTTACTAAATTTCTTTATTATAATTTCTACCTTATTGTTTCCAAAAAACGAAAATATCACTCTCATGACATCTTTTAACGAATAATTGCACACTGCACATTTTTGATATCATTAAGCAGCGTCCTATTGCACGGGTCTTATATAACAACCCGTACTTTTTTCATTGGAGATTGCTACGGGCACAACATTTCACGTGCTTATGTGCTTATGGGCACAACAATGACCGGCATTACTAAAATA